TTCGATGATAGCGGAGAGTCGTGCTAAAACAACGGACGTTGTTGCGTGTCATTTAACGATGTCTGCGTCGAGATACTGGCGGTGTCGGATATAACCTTATATACGACACCTACGGTGCCACCGTGCCTCCATGGGAGAGCATATTTCGACAACCACTGGTCGGACGCACATCCCCGATGACGTGTATGACACCTGTCGGTCATAGCCACACAACACAATTTGTTTTGTGCCAATTGAAGTTCTGTGGACTGAGATACGGGCGGTGGCGTATATAAGCTTTTTTACGCCACCGCCCTACGGTGCCACCGTACCCCCATGGGAGGGTATATCTCGGCAACCACTGGTCGGATGCACATCCCCGATGACGTGTATGACACCTGTCGGTCATAGCCACACAACACAATTTGTTTTGTGCCAATTGAAGTTCTGTGGACTGAGATACGGGCGGTGGCGTATATAAGCTTTTTTACGCCACCGCCCTACGGTGCCACCGTACCCCCATGGGAGGGTATATCTCGGCAACCACTGGTCGGATGGACGTTCCCGATGGCTTTACGGTGGAATATGTGGTTGGTGCCCACCGTTTGATGCCGCTGAGACCCCTTTTTCAAGCTTGCCTCTCCAACTACCGAGTGGATTTTGCTTCAAGTTAGGTTGTATGATTGCTGTGGGTCATAGCTACAACGCAATTCATTTTGTGCCAATTGAAGCTCTGTGGGCTGAGATACGGGCGGTGACGTATATAAGAAATAACGCCACCGGTGACGTAAATAGAATTACCCGTGTTGGGGGTGGGGGCGGGCGGGGTGCAACGATGCCGACCGATAGTCTTGGGGATTTGGCGTCCAGCCGAAAACCACCCCCGACAGCCTGTGGAAGGTAAGGGTGGGTGTGGTGTGGTGTGGTGTGGTGTGGTGTAACGAGTGGGTGTGAAGGACGTGCGCGGGGGGAGGTTCGCAGTTCTGACAATACAGGTTAGGACTTTTTCGTTCGCGGCTCAGGCGATGCTATACGGGTATGGTATGCGAGCGAGAAGGCTCTGGGCATCGTGGGATACTGTCGGGCTCGATGCATGAGGTCGACGCTACCTCGAGGGGTCTTCGTCAAAATCCTTTGCGGGGGTGAAGTCGATGTAGTTGGTGGGCTTGAGGGTACATAGGTTGATCGATGGATTCCGCGCGTGGTACCCGAACAACAGACGCGGGAGTATTTTTCGACACGTGCGCGCCAGCTGCTACAATTCAGTGTTGAAAATAGGTTGCATACTGCTAGACACTTTAGACTAGACTGAGCAGCTCTTTGTGGGGGTGAGGGGCGCCCTCTCTTGCCAGTGATTCGCGCATGCTATTAGCGTAAGAGAGGGTGCTTCCGATTGAACGAGGCGGGGGCAGTGTTGGGAGGCAATGTGACCGGAAGACGCACCGGCTGGGAGCATGGAGACGCTTACAGTCGTGTCATGATGACCTCGTGTTTTGTTTGGATGCATCCGATGGTTTCATTGTTGCGAGGAAAGCAAGAAATACATGGTAAGCATTCTCTGTCAAAAACAGGGGGTCAGGTCCCATTGCTGCGGCAACAAGGGACTGAGCCTTGCTCACGACAAGGGTTTCTTAAGAGCGGGCCGCGCCACTGTACCTACAACAGTGGTAGGACGTTCACGTTTCCAACAGGGGAAGCGGGCAAGTGTGACGACGGAAAACAACACAACAAACGAAACAAGAGAATCAAGGGAATGTGGGTGCCAGCGGAATTTCACCAAGGGTGCCCCTGCCACCGACTGGAAGACAATCAAGTACTCCCTCTCCCACTCGTTCCGGATCGACGAGCAAGCTGGCAGGCGTGTCGCTGTTTGCTCCACGCCAACGATACACGCTGGCTTTGGGCTTGTCGACTCTACCGGTGGGAATCACCGCGAAAATATGCCCTTCGGTGATGACGCTGGAGCCAAGGGTCGAACGATCGCCCTCCTGGACTCTAAACATTTACAACTAGCGGCTTGCACGCATGGTTTAGTTGTGAAAATGCAAGATCGGTTCAACAATAAACGGGAAATGAAGAAAGGCAAGGCAAGTCGCACCTCCAACTTGACAGAAAAACAAAACGTTCGAGTCTGAACAACCTTACAAATACCGCATGCCATCGGTGCACCGTCGTCGCAAGTAAGTCATTGACGAAAGGAAAATGATTTGCCCATAAAAGTGCCGTTAATGTGTAAATAGAGCATACAACACGTGATAGTAACGTCCCAATCTAGGTTGATCAGACAGGAATGACGGACATCGAACCTCCACCCTACACGCTGGGCACATCGCTCTCTCCGACAAACGAAAATATTCGTGCTACGGTCGTACTCATACGCGCACGCGACAGGGGTTATTTCCCTGGAAGCAAGCCACCCAACCATGCCCGGAACCCCCAGCTCTCACTAGCCGAGAAGCACCCGACACAAAATGCAAGCGGTGAGTGCACAACAATCAAAAAAGTACCCCCCCGCGCGCCCCCCGTCACCAAAATACAACGAAGAATCCGGGAGCCAACAGAGGCGGAATAGACTCAGCAAGAATCCATAAAAAAAGAGAGAGTTTCCCCCCCGGCGCCCCCTTCCACAAAAAAACATTGGAAAACTCGGGCAGGGATGCTGAAGACCGGTGCTGCTACGTATACAACACCACCGACGCAACACACAGGTACCTGTAGTTGTCTCCTGACGCCCACGGAAGCCACGACGTACAAATTAAACAAAGAAACAGAGAAAAGAAAAAAATATGCGAAATTAGAAAATATATACTTGAAGTATATATATATATATATCGCACACCCTCACGTAGAAGAGTCGATATAAAGAAAACGGCGGAAAAATAAATGGAACGCCAAGGATGTCTTGCAGCAGGTTGGGTGCGAGGGGGCTTGGACGCGGGCGAAAGGTCCAAGAGGCGTTTGAGGGGGTTGTGCGTTGATTATTAACCTCCGTTCTGTTTCTTCCTTCCGTTCATCCGGTAGTCCTGTCACGTGCTCCTGTCCGCGTACGAGCTGACGGTATTCTGCTGTCGCGCGGTCCCCCAGAGTGGCACAGCATCATAAGCAAACAAACACAAGCACAGCAGCGACGAAGGGGACAGGAGGGGGCGGACAGGCACGCGCGTGCGATATCATCGTCGTCGGTGTTAAGCAAAGGGATTGTAGCGATGGGTTAAACGTGTACCGTGGCGAGGCAGACGACGTCGAAAAAAGGATCATAACGATGGCCTAACAGTACCGTTGTGAATCATTTTCGTTTCGCCACACGCTTAAGCAAGATAGAACTAGGTGGAAGTTTAGTGGTACCGACGAGGGAGGGCGAAGCAGTGGAGAGGGGCGATCACATCAATCGCGGCGGATCCGCGAAGACTACCACTGAGTGAATAGAGTCGTTGAACCTCCCCGAATCATGGTTCGGTTCGTTTGAACCGCTCTAGACCCATGCTTTCGTTGTTTAACTTTTGGGTGTTTGCTGGCTTTGAAGCAACTGCTGCTGGTCCCCGTGACAATCAACAACGACGGCGATGACGTGGGCTCGTTCGGTCCACCTTCGCCGCTACCCGTCATTCGTACACCAGCATTTCCACGTAGGCTCTTCCTTGACAGCACCGGCGACAACCACCATAACCGGCCTTCAACAAATGAGCTCACGACTCTCTTTCGGTCACCAACACCTTGGGACACAAGCAATCATGGTGTTGGGTACCGGGTGGTCTAAGCGCGAAGAAAAGCTGACCCAAAGACCTTTTCTTAAAGCGTCTTGGCGGCTAACTTACCCAACACGACTCTACAAGCGGGAGGCTCTGTAGCCTTCAAAAACAGAACGGGCCTTGAACGACGACGTGTGGAGACTGACTGCCGTGCAATCGAACAGAAGGGGAGCTGGAACGAACATGTGGAGACTGCCGGCTGTGTAAAGCAGCAGCAGCAACAGCAGCGCACCTTCGTCGTGTAGGGGGCAGACGCCTCTACCGCGTAGGCCTGTGCCGGTGGAGGTGCTTCCGTGGCAAGGATGGGGGCTTGCTCCGCTTGTGTGCCGTCTTCCTTCCTGCAACAGCATGACCAGCACAGCAGAAAACGCGAGGGTAAGCAGGCCGGGGAGCGCCCGTTCCCATTGACAATTCAGCTCATGGCTCAGGGTTAGGAAGTGATAAGGGAGGCTGGTTTTGTGGCTTCGTGTTCCACCAATGCTGACGGCTTGATTTGAGGGTTGGGTTGGTGGGAGGAAGAGAAGGAGGAGACGGAGGCTGGCCGCGGGTGCTCTGTTCTGCAACCAGAGGGCGAAGAGTGGCAGCACCAGTTGTGTCGATGAGGCCGTTCAATTACTTTCTTCGAAAAGGCTTCCGCTGCCGTCTGCTGCGTGCTAAATATGTACTATATTTGCACATACGGTACACACAAGGACCATGGAACCGGCTGCCGGGAAGTTTGCGACCACACTATATGTGTATGGAACAGCGTCGCGGACTCGAGAACCAACCATGCCAAACGCCTGTTTCGTCCACAAAAGCGACTACATCGACAGGTTTCAGCTATGTAGATCGTGGCTTGGTCCTAGGACAAGACTTTGATCTTACGCCGCGACCCAAACGCAAAGCGTTTACAATCGACTACTACTACTGCTTGGAACAGTCTCCAGGGGGGGGGGGGGGGGGGAACCCT